TTATAATTTGATGTAAGTACTTTTTATTTTGTTATTTTTCTCTTTTTATTAACATTAACCTTCCACTAACTGTCGTATGAAATTTGTGTGTAATTAAGGCATTTGTCATAATTGGAGCCCTGAATATTAATATTTAGTGGTTTTTGAACGCAATTTTCGATTTTCCATTTAATTAAAAAGGGAAAAATTTGTTTCAGTTACTTTTGAATTTTGTAGCTCAATAACGGGCCAATGTAGATACGTAAATGTACGATACATATTTTAATAGGGAATTAAATCCTCTGCTAAAAGGTCTCTAATAACTTTTTTATAACTCAACTCCTTCAAAAGTTATTCATAGTTAAAGTTTAAATCGCGTAAATTTTCTTTTTTTTTTTTTTTCGATGTTATTACCGTTACTTATCACAAAATGTTGTTTTTTACAATACATTTCAATCGTTGAAAATGAATAAACATAAATGATATAATTTCATACCGGTTGAGATGCTTTAATAAAAAAGCCCGCAGCATTTTGTAATAATTGTCTAATAGTGTCAATTAGTTTTTCGAAGGCTTATAAACTTTAACCACAAATAACTTCTGAAAGGGTTGAGCTATAAAAAAATTATAAAAGATCCTTTTTGTATAACATTAAATTCCCTATAAATCCATTGCTCCGAAATAATAACTAAAACTATTTGAATGGAAAATTGCGTTCAGGAACCACTAAATATTTATATTAGGGGTCATATCGTTTTCATTGGTTTTCAAACGTACTTATACGTTTTTATATTTTTTATATTAAAAAAGTTTTAAAAAAATAATCATGGCAATCGTGACAGTAGCGTCATTAATGATGTTTAGAGTCGTTTAATTGCGTAATTGACCAACAAACCGGAATTATTATCGTCAATTAATTCTTCGTGCATTATAATTTGCTATTATTAATTAGGCAGTAAAATCTGACCGGCATACAGATGGTGTCTAGTTGTATTTCGATTCAGAAAATTTGATTTGTATTATGCGAATTTCATTGCAAGTGTAATGACCTGTTAATTAAACAAATGAATAATAAAACACATGAATGTATAAATTATATGTTTATTAGAACAGTAACGGTACGGAGCTAAAAATCAGCCTCGATTATTATTATTAAAAATAACATCATTCCTTGAATCCAATTTAAAATAA